ATTTCTACTTAGCTCCGAGAGGCCTTCTCTTTTATTTCCTGGGCCTAAGGGAGGAGGGGCAGCTTTAGTCTGGTTTGCTCTGACACTGAGGGCAAGTCCTTGAGGCTTCCAGCATGATGTGGGTGAGACCTGCTCCGAGACCCTGGGCCCAGGCTATAGCTGTGGTATAGGAAAATGCCTCAGGAATAGCACTGGTGCTCCAATAATCTGCTTTTCCAATTCTTTTGGGATTCCATCTAAAAATTGTCCTTGGAGTTCCCCATCATCATTTTAGCTCTTCAGTATATTTAAATAATGATTTAATACAAGCCATCAAAGCCTTCTGGATACCTTTTATAATAATTTTGAATGAAATCCTTTAAAAATGTAGTTGAAAATCTTTATTTTGGATTAAAATTTCTGTAGAACCTAATCATCTGCCTCTAAAATAACACATCACTTCACTTTCCAGTTCTCAGTCTCATCAGATGACTTTCCAAGTCTCCTACATACTTCACTGTGCCCATACTAGTAATTTGTGTGTGTTTTATTTTTTAAAAATAATTATTTATTGTTGAAAGTGTTACATATGTTTCCTCTTTCCCCCCACTGACCCCCGTCCAGCCGGCCCCTAACCCCCATTCCCTGCCTCCAGGACCTCACTCCCCCATTGTCTGTACAAGGTCCTTGGTTGATTACTTCCCCTATCTCCCCCACCTTTCCACCAAGATTCTGCACTCTGTTCCATGCTTCCATGTTTCTGGATCCACTCCATCCATCAGTTTATTTTGTTACTTAAGATTCTACATATGAGAGATCATGTGATACTTGTCTTTCTCTGACTGACTTATTTCGCTTAGCATGATACTCTCCAGGTCCCTCCATGCTGTCTCAAAGGTTAAAATATTCTTCTTTTTTATTGCTGTATAGTATTCCATGAAATAAATCTGCCACAGATTTTGATCCACTCATCTGCTGATGGGCACTTGAGTTGTTTCCAGATCTTAGCTATTGTAAATTGTGCTGCTATGAATATAGGGGTGCATACATTCTTTCTGACCGGTGTTTCAAGTTTCTTAGGATATATTCCTAGAAGTGGGATTACTGGGTCAAATGGCAGTTACATCTTTAACTTTCTGAGGAGCCTCTGCTGTGTGTGTGTGTGTGTGTGTGTGTGTGTTTAAATGCCTTAGGATCTTAGAAGAGCCTCCTTGTCCTTTTCCTCATTATCATTTTCTTGTACCTTACACTTCAGGTTATAGGAGAATGAAGTTAGATTACTGACACATGCAGAACTATTTATTTGATTTCTTTTCTTTTCAATATTTAAGCATCTTAGCTAAATGTCTCTAAGTAATTTGGGCATCCTCTAAATTCTATTATGAAAGTAAGATACTTAATATGAAAAAAATGGTCTGCTTATAATTAGTGAACAAGTCATATTTGAAATACAGTTTTTATTAATGCATTCATTTAGCACTATGTATAATATATGAGGGACCAGATATAGAGAATGAGCAGAATAAGTCTTGTCCCATTTGAAGTTCATAATCTAGATTGGGAGCAACACAGAAATAATTTAGGAATATAGTGAGAGGCACAGCAGTAAAGAGTTTAGTCTCTGGAGTCTGATACTTAGGTTTGAATCCTGACTCTGCCATTTAATTTAAAGAGTTAATATTTATAAGAGTTTATGAGTAACTGGCACATAGTGTTAATTGTTAGCTGTTATTATTGTTATTATTATCACTATATAGAAGTATGTATGAATAGAAAGTGAGGGCAATGGACATAAAATAAGGGCATTATATCAGATGACCTCTAATTATATATTGCCACAATCTATTAGTGTCCTCTACTTTACCTCTTCACCCAACCCATGTCACATAACCGTCTATTTCTGAGTCCTTGCTCATCTTTCCACAGTGATCTCTTTCTTGTAAGTGCCCTTTCCCCATACTGCTTGAACCATCACATTGTACATCTTCTTATTCTCTGAATGTATGTTTGTTACAACTTAATTCTTTCTTATGTCACACATAATGTGGTCATGTATAAATACCATGTTCCTATTTAGCCCATGTCTTATATGGATTACAGAGTAGTTCCACTGTACTTAACAGCAGAATATGTTTAATAAATACTGGTTGATTAATTGAAGTTACTCAGTTTCAGAAACAGCTTTCACTGGCATAGATCAGAGGTTGGCAAATTTTTTCCTGTAAAGGGCCAGATACTAAATATTTGTCACTCTGTGGGCCACATGGTCTCTACAGCAACTGCCACAACTATTCCACCCTGCCACTGTACTGCCACAGCTGCCACAGACAATATGCAAACAAGTGGGCATGATCACGTTTCAATCAAACTTTTTTAAATTTGATTTTTTTAAAATTTTGAAATACTTCTTGATTCACAAGAAGTCAAATATACACTTAGTGGCCAGATTATTATGATCTCTGAATGCATAATAATCTGGCCACTCAGGTTTTGTGTGTGTGTGTGTGTGTGTGTGTGTGTGTGTGTGTATGTGTGTGTATTAGATGTATATATTAGAGGCCTGGTGCATGAATTTTTGCATGGATGGGGTCTGGCCAGCCTGGCCACGGGGAGGGGACATGGGTGGTTGGCTGGCCTGCCTGCTGGTCGAATTCCTGGTCCAGGGAACAATTTGCATAGTAGCCTTTTATTATATAGGATATACACTGAATGGCCAGATTATTATGATTCAGAGTTCATAATAATCTGGCCACTCAGTGTATATAATAAATATAATAAACATAACAATATAATAAGTATAATAAATATGATATGATATAATATCACATATCATATAGTGAGGTTTTGTGCACCCTTCATTCAGTTCCCCTCAAAGATAGTACAACAATATAATATCATGACCAGGAAATCAGATTTCACTGGTTTCACATGTATTCATTTGTGTGTGTGCATTTGTATAGTACTGGGTAATTTTTAAAACCTTCTTTACAGAAATAGGCAGTAAGCTGAATTTGGCCTGAGAACTGTATGCAGTTCACTGACACTTTGAAGAGATCCTCATATAGAACTCAAAGTTGCAATATTTTGGCATATTGTGTGTCAAATACACAAAGCATTTTTATGGACTACCCAGCTAAAACAAGAACCAACTGTGGTTTAAAAAACAAGCCCAGTCCTTCCCCCTCATGAGCCTGTCAGCAGAGAGAAGACAGGGAAAAATACCCAGAACAGAATAATAAAGGTTATTTCTATCTTCTCCCACTTTCAACCTCTGACCTCACACTGGTTAGGAAAGGATGTGGCCGACCTGAGACTGCTGAATTGAGCAAAGTTCACTATCAGACTATCATTTTTTGCTTCCTAGGTACCTTAAGCTTTTTACATCTTGAACTAAAAAGTTGATGACTAGAATTCACTCACCCAAGAAGCAAAGCAATTTTAGCTTTGGCAATCTGAGCTAACGTTTCATAATTTTAATCCTCACACTTCAATTAATAGATGGACGCATCACATTCATCCATAAACAAAAAGGAAAAAAGTAATTTCTTTAATGTACACCTGGGAAAGACAATTGTGATCTGGATTTGTACATTTAAATGTATATGCAATTTAATTAATAGAGCAATTTAAAACTACTAAGAACATGATGGGTAGTTGAGAAGTTGTTTCATTTTTAGTGTTTGTTTTTATATAATCACAATGTGTCATATTCTTTCAAGACTGAAATTGTGGCATTTGGCAAGATTTTGTTAATTATAAAGGTTCACCAATCTCAGCTACCTTGGTAGAGCCAGGTGGGTTTTTAAGTTTTATAAAAACAGGTATGATGACTTCAGCGGTATATATAATATATATATAATATATATATATAATATATATAACATTACCTAGAAAATATATATATATTTAAAAAAATATAATATATATATATATATATATATATATATTACATTACCTAGAAAAATGAAAAATAATGAATTTTCTTTAAAAACATAAAACAATACAAAACCAAAATTAATTGTTCTGGTATCTCAATTTAAAAAGTGCTCAGTACTGTTCTTAGAATAAGGTCTAGGGTTCCATTCATATTAAGATCTTTTAGTCAAGATAATAAATGAACAAAGATAACTGAGAATAAAATCTAGGGTTCTATCCATGTTAACATAATTTAACTTTATGATATATAAATGGAAATGAAATGGACTATCTGAATAAACATAAAACCCTCAATAAAAAACAACAACACATAATTAAGATGTTAAAACAAAACTTTGTTCCAAAAATCATACTAGATAAACTTCCTGCTTGTCTCCTTCCTTCCCCCAAATCTTGAAGTGATGGTGGAAAACAATACACAAAGCATTTTTATAGACTATTCTTCTTGAAAGGTAGGAGGAAAAAAAAGGTCAAAGCCAAGTCCACATCAGTCTTTGAAACAGTTCTATGGATTGTTTTATTCTTTTAAAATTTATTTCAGTGGAACTAAATTATAATATGCATGAGCCCAACAAATAAACGAATATAAATGTACAAGTTCTAAAGAGAATTGCCTGCTAAACCCTTACATTCAGAGATCCATAAGTAAGAGTTGGTCACATCAATAATTTAATTTTGATCTAGTGACAAAGCATGTTTGTATTCCTGGGAAAAGAAAAAAAAAAACCACCACCAATCTTATTGACTGGCAATTCAGTATACTTGAAGGTTAATTAAATAAGCAATGTGGCAAAGTACCCAATATGCAATAAGGTGCAATTTTTCTGTTGGATTAAACTTCAAAACTCAACTATTCCACATTCGAGCCAACCAGTTAAGTCAACAAAATCATTTAAGTTGGTAGCTCCTGTATAAATCCTAATGTCTTTTAGAAAGGTTTAAAAACCAAATCATGACTGAATTAACTTTGTAACTTATGATATGTTAGGCTAAAGCTGTGGAATTAACTCAAGAATTATACATTACCAAGTACATAAAGATAAAGATGTTGGTTTTAAATGTTGTTTTTGCATAAGTTTACTTACTGCCATATAAGCATTTGTTCCAACATACGTCTTGGCTATAGAATTCACCAGCTATGAGACAAAACAGTCTGTTAGAACAATATAAAGATAATGTGGAAATAAAATGGGCAATTATTCCTCATTTAACCTACAATCATCATTTCTATAAATCAACTAAAAATTACGTAAAAGGGAACAAATCTACAAAGGCATTAAAAAATGGTTAAATCTCTCTTTCCTTTTGAATGTGATTTCCATTTAAACAAGCACAGCATTACAGTTTATAGCAGATAACCTTAAACAATTCACTTAAGCAGGATGCTTATCGCTTTAGTACCCCAAAACCGTCTGATATAAAAAGTCAATTTGAAGTAGAATTTGAACACACTCAAATGGCTCAAGATGTGAACGAAGCCTCATGCATTACTAGAATGAAACGAACACTAAATACGCTGGAGGGATAACAGACTTTGACAACTCATAATACAACGATGACCTTCGCTTTGGTCTTCGTGTTTGGCCGGGAGTAAAGGTGGCTGCAATTCAAATCAACATCACAGCACGCTCATGGGTCACTATCACGGGGGTTCTCAGGGGAGGCCCAAAATGGAAATTAATTAAAATTTGTGCTGCACATTGTAATGGCCCTCCACCATTGTTGCTCCCAATATTAATTTTTATTGTGGGCCAGTTGGGCTCCCCAGGCACAGCTCCCACTCTGCCCTCCCTTTTGTCTGGCCAAAACGCTTCCTATCAACACTGCATATCAATGAAGTTTGCTATTCGTAAGTAGTAATTACAATATCAGCAGTTTTTACTGTCATTAAACAATGAACAATCATATTCTGATGAAGGAAACTCGCCCGGAGATTAAAAATGAATACCGCACTCCCAGCCGAGGAGAAGATGCGGAGCTGTTTGTCTGGCGGCTGGGCGACTTTTCAATCCAGAGAGGAGATTGGAAATAAAAAGGGGATGCTGCAGAGAGGAGAGCAGATGGGGAGGGAAAACAGACCTACCTGGGTGCTAACTCCAAAGTCACAGAGCTTGACCTGTCCTCTGGTGTTTACTAGCATATTGGAGGGCTTCACATCTAGAAAGAGAGGAGAAAAGTCCACGTAACTAATTCATATCTACAGTGCTTGCTCTAAAAAGAAGTGCACATGCATACCCTACTATATTGCAGAAACGACATCATCTGCTCAACTTGGGCTACTAATCACAGATTTAATGCACAGCATTTTATCTGGAGGCAAATAAACGTAAGGTCCTAACACCTCCATTTCCAGCTATTTCTGGTTTCTATAAAAGCAAGGGTTTATTCCAAGTAGAAAGTAAAAAAAAAAAAAAAAAAAGATGTTGGCTTTCAACAACAGTAAATACACCTATCATCCTATCCCCAGCCCCTGCCTTTTAGGAAAAGTAAGTAGAAAAATAAATGTAATCTTGCAAAGAATTTGTACAAAACGGCTTGTTTTGCTCTCATTTAATAAACAGCAAGGCCGAAGGGAAGCCAACAGGAAAGAGAGCGTTCGTATGTTGCGGGTAACAGGTCATGGGTGAACAAAACAATGAAAAAATAAATGCCACATTGCCTTTTCCTGGTTTGGTATGATAAATGCTACTTCAGATGACACTCAGAAATTGATCTAAAAGATGTGAGTGTGTGCCTGCATGCACTTATCAGCCTTTGTTTCAGTTGGCCTTCTCTTCCCTTACATCATTTTTGACTGCTATTATAGTTAACAAAAGAACTGACATAGCTTTTGCCAAGGCAGTCAGTGGCTAAATAATGACCCAAAGGGTTTCTGTGAAACATTGTCAGTGACAACAATGAGGCTTTTCAGGAATCCAGGGAGCCCACAAAAGTCACCCAAGCAGGACAAGAGCACACTGCTTGTGACGGTATACAACAGCACTTGCTTCAACATTCATCTTCAATGGCAAAAGTGGTCGGGAATAGACAACTTGTTATATTTAATATAGCATATAATAGTAATCACCCCAAAATTGAACATGGGACTCATAATTTTTAATAACTGAACATGGGATTCATTATTTTTAATGTAACAATTTAAAAAAATCTGTAAATGAGTTCATCTTCCCTTTACCCTGCAAAAGGGTACCCCAACAAAGTATCCTGCCAACAGTAGATATTTAATTCAACCTTCAAGTTCAAACTCTGAAATTAACAATTGTTGAGCCCTACCTACTATGTGACAGGCAACATGCTAGGCACTTTCTCATGTATTAGCTATTTAGTGTAGCCTGACTGATGCTAAACTCCATGAAGACAGGGACTTTATCTCTGTTACTAACTACTATATTCCCAGTCCCTAGGAAGGGTGCCAGGCATACAGTAAATGCTTAATAAGTATCTGTTGAATGGAGGAGAAAATAAAGGAATGGAAGCCATGAACACAAAGTATGACTTCATGTTGATGATTCTGTTTCAGTGATCAGAGAGCAGCTACAGAACATGTTTCTGGGCCACGCCCTTCAAATAACACACATTGGATACTTCCTTTGCAGGGAGGGTGAGTCTGAAGACAGTTTTATCAACTCTCGTTCTGCCTTTAGTTTCCCCAATTTCAATATAAATTTTACACCACCAACATTCTACGTAATAAAAGGCTAATATGCAAATTGTCCCCTCAGGAGTTCAACTGACTGGGAGTTTGACCACTCGCTATGATGAGCACTGACCACCAGGGGCAGCATGGAACAAAGGAAGGCCCTGGCCAGCAGCCAGTGGCTGGGGGAAGGAAGGCCCCAATTGGCCTTGATCGCCGGCCTGGCCTAGGGACCCTATCTGTGCATGAATTTCATGCACTGGGCTTCTAGTATTAAATAAAGCACTTTCACTACCTCATTTCTCTTCTTGAGAAGGAAATGAAATACTCCCTGATCTTACCCCATCAAAATGTGAACTCCTTAAGAACAGGGTTGTGCTTTCAAATGTATCCCAGAATTTAGCATAATATATATAAGTCATAGATAGTCACAGTAGACATGCAACGTTTGCTGAACTAAAAGAAATGTTAGACTCTACATAGCCTGGTCTTTTTTTCCAACCTAATTTTCATTATATTAATAGACCCTAATCTCTGAATATTTTTCTTTTCGACAATCTGCTCTTTTATATATCAACAGCCTTAAACAACTCTTAAGCCACCATATCAGATGGAGACAGTTAATGAACAGATATTTTAAGCTCCTGGAAGGAGCTGCCTGGAAATCATGAAGTATGGTATGGTAAAATTAACATTTGTAGCTTTAATCAGACACATATTTGACTTAAGTGGACTAATAGAGAGAGAAAGAATAAAACCACAAAGTTGCTAGATTATATTGTAAAAGGCAAAGTATAAATAAGAATTTTACTGGATTTTTCAGTTCTCCAACATCTACAACTTGTTTAACTTACATGTATAACTTGTGTACATTCACCTCTTAGCCTAGTTATCAAGAGTACTTTATGTATGAAAGTAGTAGTCACCCTTTTATCCTCAAACCAACTTTTATATTCTGTCTAAACCAGTGGTTGGCAAACTCATTAGTCAACAGAGCCAAATATCAACAGTACAACGATTGAAATTTCTTTTGAGAGCCAAATTTTTTAAACTTAAACTTCTTCTAATGCCATTTCTTCAAAATAGACTTGCCCAGGATATGGTATTTTGTGGAAGAGCCGAACTCAAGGGGCCAGGCTCGAGAGCCGCGATTTGTGGACCACTGATCTAAACAGAATTCTGGGTTGACAGGTTTTTCCCTCCCAGCATTTGAAAGATGTCTTTCCATTAACTTTTGGCATGCATAGCTTTTGACACAGTCTGCTGTATTACTATTTAAAATTTTTTTTAAAAATTGATTTCAGAGAGGAATGGAGAGGGAGATAGAAATAAAAACATCAATGATGACAGAGAATCATTGATTGGCTGGCTCCTGCATAGACTCCACCAGGGATCTAGCCCACAACCTTGGCATGTCCCCTGACCTGGAATCAAACTGTGACTTCCTGGTTCATAGTTTGATACTCAACCACTGAGCAACACTGGCTGGGCTGCTATAATTTTTATTTTTGTTCTCTTAATGTATTTTTTTTCTCTGAATATTTTAAAGATTTTAAAAATCACTTATTTTCAAATTTTTTTATTTTGATATGCTTTGGTATGGTTTTGTTTTTATCCTGGTTAGGGTTTGTTGAGCTTTTTAGGTCTATGGGTTTATAGGTTTCATTTAATTAGAACCATTATTTTTTCAAATAATTTTTTTGTTCACTTTTCTCACTCCTTTCCTTCTGAGATTCTAGTTACACATGTATCCTATATTTCTTGATACAATTATAAAAGTCCCTGAAGCTGTGCTCATTTTTTTAGTCTTTCTTTTTTTTTTGATATTAATTTTGGGTAATTTCTATATCTCTAACATCAAGGTTACTAATGGTTTCTTTTGTAGTATCTTATCTATGGTTAATTCCATTAAGTAAAATTTTTATTTTAAATATATTACATTTCATCTTTAGATGTTCCACTAGGTTCTTTTTGTCTCCCATTTCTCTCTCTGTAATGCTCATGTTTTCCTTAAAATCCTTCAGTATACTTATAATATTTATAGTTATTGTTCTTAAGTCTTGGTCTGCTAAGTCCATTATCTCGGCAGAGGGAAGGTTTCTATTTACTGATTTTTTCCCCTGGTTTTAATATTTCATCCATTATCAGAAGAATAATTCTCTGTTCACCTACTAATTTTTATTTGGATACCAGATATTATAAATCTTACGTTGTTGAGTGATGAATATTGTTATCATCCTTAAAGAGTGTTGGACTTAATATTGGCAGTTAGTTAACTTATTTGCAGATATCCAGATCATTTTCAGGCTTTAGAGTTTTTATATAAATAGTCCATAATAACCCCCTATCCTAGGGCTAGTTTAGTCCTACCATTGAAGCATGCTCCTTCTAAAGTCTCTCTTAAAATGCTCCAACAAGGTATCTTCACTCTGGCTGGTTGGAATTTTAAAAATCCCATATCTGTTTGGCTTATAGCTCCCCCCAAATTTCTTTCCCATATAGTAAGTTCATTGTCTAGATTTATAAGATTTCATCATATGAATCTATTGGTTGATATCCACCCAAAAACTCAAGATTCTTATATAATTTCTCGAGCTCCTTTTCTTCATAGATCTTGCCTTTCTAGGACTCTGCCATACATTCTAGCCATTTTGGCCTTCTTGACCTCTAAACACTGCCTTTGTACCTCAGACATTGGTACAGAGAACGAGTTCTCTCTCTCTAAGCTGCAGTCCAGAAATAGTCTTCAGGTAGAAAGCGGGGGTGGTTATAAGGCTCACCTCATCAGTTTCCCTTCTCTCAAGGGTCATAGTTCTGCACTACTTGTTATCTAATGTCTGAAAACAGATTTTCACGAATTTGGTCCAGTTTTTTAGTTATTTTTGGTGGAGGGCAACTCCCATAGCAGTGTTCCTTTTTAGGCAGAAGTGAAGATATTCCTTTACCTTAAAATTCTTTTTGTGTGTGTGTCTTTTGTTAATTGTTTTGACTTTATATTGTAAGCTGCCTCAAATCCGTTTTAAAAATAGGTAGGATATAAATAATATTAAGATTTTACTTAGTTTGAATAAACCTGAATTCCTGTGGCAGAATATTAAGAAAATGAAATCTCTTTCAATGTTGGAATGAGGACAGTTCCTGTCTGAAGTTTTACTTAACTTAAATAAAATATTCCATCTGTATTTTTTGAGGTATTTGAAGAATAAATAATCCTAGTACATAGCCACTGAACTTGCTACTTCCAAGTTTTCATTTAAAATGAACAACTATTATAACTCTCAAGAATATCAAAATAATTGAATTTCTTTTTTTTTCTTTCTTTTTTTGGGGGGGGGCGTGCGGGTGGGTTTGTTTTCAATGTCACTCAAAGCTATAGACAACAGCACAGCATATAAGGGAAAAAGATTACTTTTAAGGAGGTAGTTATATTTATGATTATTTTAAAGCAATCTCAAGTTATAGAAAACAAACAACCGAAGGTATGTAAGCTTTCTATTCAGCTCACTTAAAACATCATAGC